TCAAACAAATAAGGAGATCAGTCGAAGTGGTGAATCATGCAACAACGACTGAATGAACAGTTACGATGCAGAAACCGGTTTGGAAAGAAAATTCCGAATACTATCTGATAGTTTCTCTTAATAACTGGTAATTACGATACGGAACTAATAAAGCCAATAGACATTTAAAAATCAGTGAACAATTGAATATGCTGCATTCGGATAAAAACACTGGACGTTCTAATGTGCAAGTTTTGCATACGGCCTTATAAATAAACAAATGAAGAAAGTAAAGAAATCGAAGCAATGATCAGCGATTCAATATTCCATGAATTAAAATATTCCAAGAGTAACTCCGTAAAATCTATTATGGAAAGAATCAATTGAGCCGCCGCCTCAAGCGAATGTCGTTTAGATTCGCCAAACCGTTCATGACCATTCATTTAGCTTTGATGTGAAAATCAAATAAATAATGCGATGTAACGAAATGAATAGAAAATTGGTTGTTCGGAGGTGAAAGGATTGAGAGCGAACTGGTGAATGTGCGCACAGTGAATGAGAAAAAAGTGACTGCATAAGAGAGTAACAACACGATTTGTAATTTGCAAAAATGAGAGTGATGAAGCACTATGGGAATTTGAAATGAGAAGTAACGAAAGAGCATGAAACGATAGGTGAACATGCAATTGTGAAGTGGTGGGCGTCGCAATTCATGTGCTCATGCTCACTGAATGTAATAACTGTACAGTTAACTGGTCTCTCATGATATTTTCTAGATTCTTACGTCTAATTTCCAACGCAATGCATCACTCTCATTCCTCTCTAGTGCCGATTGTATTGTTGCTTGATTGTGTCAAAACTTTTTTCTCAACCCCTCCAATTGCACTCTCGATTTCACTCTCATTCCATTCATCTCCAACAACAACCACTCTCGAGCAATTTCTTGATATTACAGTCTCTATTCAGTTGGTTTTTCCATAGAAATGTTTAGTGCGGAGAGATTTGGCACAACTGGACGCGATTTTCTTCAGCCAAAACCGTTACTTCTGTGGATTTCAATGATAGATTTTACTCGTAAAACGTTTCCTCTGTTATGGTTTCCGGGATTTTTATTCTTGTATTGTTAATTTGCTCATGCGGTGATTGTTACTATAAATTGGTGAAGATGTGAAATTCTTTTCACAGGCAGACATCCGTAGTTTATCTCATATTTGTTCCCGATATCATCTTTACTTGCAGTTCCCGATGTCCAAGTCAATGCTTTTTAATATGTTCATCAATAAATTCCACGCCAACCTCTAATTTCTTCATCAGAATATAATTTTTGAGTTAATTCGCTTCGGAGTTGTGATATTATTTTTCTATTTGGTTGATTTTGAAGTGTTTTCAAAATGAACTGTTTTCTGTTATATAAACATGAATCTTATAGAGTGTGAATTTGCATTTACTTGCGGTCAGTTGGCAAAAGAAAGCAAAGATGAACCATGCAGCTGGCGACAAGAAGCAGACGAGCAGTACTGGACTTCCGATCACAGATCTCTCGATTGAGCAGCTCACATCTCTGCAAAAACAAGTCGAACAAGAAATTACCTTCTTCTCGGAATCATTGGCCGTTAGTTTCAATTCATTTGTTAATCCAAAGAATTCGGTAATCTTCATCATGTCATCGTACGATTCTTTATTTACATTCAAATGCAGTCTGTTTGCCATTTTAAGGGCGCATTATAATTTGGGGTTCACCTGAAGACACCTTCTGTCGAGCGTATGGCATCGCTTATGGTGTTCGTTTCCTTGAATTTTTAAAATGCAATTCAAATTTCAGGAATTGAAAGTATTCGAGGCAAAATTCGAAGCGAGTGAAGAAGCAGTATGCTCAATCGATCCGAAAGCAGAAAGGACCACCGCATTGATTCCACTCTCCGAATCGGTCAGTTATACCTCCGAATGAAAAGATCTCTCGATGTTTATTTGAGCTTTTGAAAAAAAAAGGAGCGAAAAGGAATTTTCGGTTAAAGGTTGAATTGTTCAATTTTGATGGGTTACTCTCTTAGAACGTTTGTGGTTCTGAATTAAAATCAATTCAAAACTGAATATTTCAGATGTATATAAACGCTGAATTGGCAGATCCGTCGAATGTTTTAGTAGAAATTGGAACGGGCTATTATGCTGAGATGAATTTAGAGAAGGCAAAAGATTTCTTCAAAAGAAAGCAAGAATACCTTCGAAAACAAGTCAGTTTATTATTTCAAGATTATTATTTTTTTCGAGTCCTTCTTTGCTGTCTGTCATTTCATTATATTCAAACATGATGCCATCAACATTACTGTGTTAAATTTTTTAAATCATATGATTTGCTTATGTAATTTACGAGCAGTTCATTTTGAAGTTCAATTGAACACTTCGTTGAAACGGACTGATTCCTTCAGATATCAACGGTCGAGGATATATTACCGGAGAAGAGACGTATACGCCAGGCCATCACTGAGAATATTCAAAAGAAGATCCAAACGCTATGCGCTCAATTACCACAGTCATCGTCAACGAAATAATTCGCTTGTTATCGCTATGCTGATCTCATTGCGCCTTACTTCTACTGTTATCATGAGTAATCTTGCGTTCTGCTGAAACAAAATGGCTCCGCTTTTATTCGAAAACTTTGGTTGTTCATGATCCATATCCTTTGATGAGCCTCTTAAATTTCCCATCATCATTGTTTTTTAATACCTACGCTTAATTTGCTTCCGAAGAATGAATACTTCACGATTCACTATTGATCTACAACGCTAACAAATCAAATCATTTGAACTGTTCTGTGCGTTTGAACGAGGCAAAACTTCATTCTGTTTCTTGAAGAAGAAGAATACATTGTGAAGGCATGATCATGAAGTAGACGCACTGAAGTTATATTGCGTTTTATCATTTGGAGACTGACTTCATGAACAGTGAATATCGAAGGGAGATGCGAGAAGCTTCATTTTTTTGGATTTTAAATAGAAGATAAAAATAACGTATTGTTATTGTTATTTTGTTATATTGGATAAAATTTATTTGTTGATCAATTGATGGATTGATGACCGCTTGAGTGAATTTTCATTTGTGTATCGGAGGGAAAATGAGAGATTTGTTTTAAAGTGTGATGAAGACAAAATTAGTTTTACAAAAATTTTATTGAATCGTCGATGGAATAAAATCAATTGGCTTGTCCAGCGGTGAATTCAGCATCTATAGAGAAATCCTAACAAATGCACCAAATATTAACGAAACAAATACATTAACAATGATAAATTATTAACAATAATAATGAAAAAGATGATCATTTCAAAGCAATAAGGAAAAAATCCTCAAAACATCGCTAATATCTCCCACCGAAATGGATGAATATAAAGTTGAGTGNGTTGGCATTATTTATAACACGACGACGATTCAATCAAATCACAAAATCACAAATGGGATCAAGCGAAAGGGAAATATATGGCCAACAGCGATGAATGGTCAATAAAAGCGAAGCGATTTGCATCAAAAAATAAGTACAAATAACTTTCCAATAAGTAATCAGCTTTATGCGTACGGTATAACTGTGAGCATTTGTCATTTGAGTGGACGATGTTCATTAGAATTTGATCTAATTGAAATTAGGAAAGCACATTGAATGTGAATAAATTATCATATACTGCATCCGAAAAAAACAACGACGATATTCGAATAACTGTTAGCTGAATTGTTCTTGTGCATTCAGTAACGATCAGTCGCTTTAAAATGATAAACTTTCTGTTAATGAGCACAACTTTGTCATAGTGAATGAGCACTGCCGAATGAACCTACACGACTACTGTGCATATGAACATAATGATTGAAAGGCAATAAATCTCGATTTGTAACAAACCAAATCACCATTGAGAATTCAAATGCTTTGAGTGGTTTTTAATTATACAATATGGTAAGACAAGAATGATCGCGAAAGTGTGCGATTTTGTTACGTTGATACTGCCTGCGATCAATTCAAGCAAGAAATTCTATAAGCATCGATTGGAAACAAATGAGATTCTTAAGTAATCTCAAAAATGCTCACTTTCACACGTCACAAATCGAATTTTAGAAAGAAAAACATCAATCGGTCAATCATCAATTGGACATGTAAATGGAACTCGCGAAAAACATTCAAATCATCAATTGAATCAACAAAAACGAACAGAAAGTTTATCATTTTAAAG